GTCCAAAATACATAAACTCAACAGCATATATAAGTGAAAATCAAACCAAGCAGTTCAGTTTAAAAATGGGCAAAATAGTTGACTAGAAATTCCTGCAAAGAAAATGTACAATGACCAGTAAACACCTTAAAAGGTGGTTAACATTACTAATCATAGGAGATATACAAACTAAAGCCATACTGACATTTCACACTCGTTAAGGTCTTGTTAAGAAAGAAAAAGCAAAATTATGAGTGTTTGGGGAAGCTGTGGAATAATTGGAATCCTTGTGCACTGCTAGTGGCAATGTAAAATGATACAAATGATTCTCTAGAAGAGATAGCAAATGTGAAATTGTAAGCAGGTATACACACAAACATTTTTGTCAACTTGTTTTCCAAAATAGTGGTCCCAGTGTACTTTATTTCTGTTACTAGATTTGAAAGTACCTGCTTATTCCTCTTCTTACCATTCTGAGATATTTTCATTTTTGATTTTTTCTGATCTCTCATGACTAGAAAATGGCATTTTAGTTCTAAAAGAATGTGCATAGGTAGCATGGTGTGTGAGCACAAATACAGGTAAAGAACAACTGAAAAGAATGTAGGTATCCATTAACAGGAAAATAATGACAAGTAAATAATGATGGAAGTAAAATAATGACAAGTAATATATATATAATACATATATAATTTTATATTCTAAAATTATAGGTTTTAGGCCAGGGATTTAGGCGGCAACGGCACAAGTACCTCCCTGGCAAGCACAAGGTTGTGAGTTCGATCCCTGGCACTAAAATTACAGGCTTTAGAATACTAACCAGCAGTCACAATTAGTAGAATATAGTTGTGTACATTAGTACAGATGAGTCTCACACAGTATTAAGCAAAAAAACCCCTGATATTCAAAATCATGCAAAATTAATGCATTTGTAAGAGAGAAGTATATACATGGTAGAATTAAAAATGAAAGCAGCCCGTTTTCATTAAACGCAGACCACTCATAGAGTGGCAGTTTTTCCAGGGGCCCTGAGAGTTACTAGTAGTCCTATCTGAAAGGTGGGGAATATGAAAAGTAATGTCTTGCTAAGACAGGTAAAAGAAAAATTCTTTTTCTCCAACACCTCCTTTGCAGCTTGTTACATCCATCTTTGCTATCAAAGTTTTTGACAGTTCTGGCTTGTGGGAATGTGACTTTAAAATTTTATGCATTATTTGCTATGTAGAATGTTCTCTGAAAATGATAAATCTTTTTAATCAGCATCTGGAGTTTGAGATTACTTTCTTAGCCATATAATCCCTTGAACAGTGCTGAAATATTTACTTGGGTAAGGGGGTAATATGGAGTGGTCATTTTGAGGAGAATTTGGTAAATGAAAAGAATGGCTTTGGTTGCCAGCAGACCCAAGCTGGCACTTAATGTTTCCCATTTAATATCTAGGTTGCTTACTTTCTCTGACTTAGTTTCCCTAATGGTAGGGAATCTCTTTGTGGGATCTCTTTGTGATCTCTTGTTTTTACTTCTTTCTTTTTCCCATTCATCCTGGAACCATTCTTATCTATTGCTCTTATCTATTGTTGGTCACCATCATCATTTTTTTTTTTTTAAATCAGTACCCGGGATCGAACTCACGGCTGCCTGCTTGCAAGGCAGGTTCTTATGCCGCTGAGCTAAATCCCCAGCCCTCCATCATTATTTTTAATATCACTAGGGAATGGTGTTAATGTAAAGTTATAGAATCCAGAACAAACAAGGGCTTGTGAATTTCAGGAACCTTGTTTTTGGTTGTAATCTAAGCAGTTATGTTTTCCTGTAAAAAGCAGTGTGAAAAGAGGTGTGGTAGTGCACACCTGTAATCCCAGCAGCCTGGGAGGTCAGTCACCAATTTGAGCCCATCATGGGTAAGTGAGTGACTGTGAGGTACGGTCTCAAAATTAAAAAATAAAAGGGCCGGGGATTAATTTAGTGTGAAGGCTCTGGATTCAATCAATTTTAGAACTGCACGGAAAATGCCAGCATGGATTTTACTAGTATAATTACTATAGATCTCACAGCTTGGAAGTATTTTTGGGGCAGTTTTTTTTTTGGGGGGGGGGTTTAGTATAATCATCTGTCAGCAGTATCTAGGTCTAGAATATTTTCATCACTTCTCAAACAAACCTCATTCTCTGTTAGCAATCATTGCACATTTCTGTCCCCTAGCCTGTGGAACCACTAATTTGTTTTTTGTCAGTATGCACATTGCCTAGTCTGGACATTTCCTATAAATACAATTATATAATTTGTGATCTTTTTGTGTCTGGTCTTTTTCACTTAGTATGATGCTTGTAGGATTCAGTTATGTCGTGTTAGTATTTCATTCCTTTTTATTGCTGAATAATAGTCAGTGATGGAGGTACTATATACTTTGTTTATCCATTCTTTACTTGATGGACATTAGGTTGTTTCTACTCTTTGGCTATTATGAAATAATGCAGCTATGCATATTTGTGTATAGGGTTTTGTGTGGCCATACTTACTGATTTTTTTTGGTACCGGGGATCGAACTCATGACTTCGTGTTTGTCAAGCAGGTATTTACACCGCTGAGCTAAATCCCTGGCCCCTTGTATTGGTTTTTCTTGATTATATACCTTGGTGTAAAAGTTCTGGGTCTTATAGTAACTCAGTGTCTAGTATTTTGAGAGGCTGTCCAGTGGTTTTTAAAGTGGATATACATCATTTTACATTCCTCCCAGCAGTGTATAAGATTGCCAGTGTTTGTACTTCCTCACTAATTCTTGCCATTGTCGGATTTTTGGGTTATAATTTTCCTAGTGTGTATTATCTCAGTGTGGATTTGATTTGTATAATGGTTGATGGTATTTAGCATCCTTTCATGTGCTGTGCTTACCGGTTATTTGCATATCTTTTGAACTGCCTGTTGAAAGCCTTCTCTCTGTGCCCCTCACTGCACCCCTTATGGAGCTCAAGGCCTTGCACGTGCCCTACCACAAGGCGTGTACCCTACCACAGAGCAACATCCCTAGCCCATTTTTCTCCATTTTAAATTGAATTGACTTTCTTTTTGCTGTTGATTTGAAGGGATTCTTTACATAGTCTAGAGACACATCCCTTACCAAAACTCTGATTTGCAAACCTTGTTTATCTCTTTTTGTTTGTTATTTAATGCCTCTGGTGTCATATTTAGTAAATTATTTTCTACCCAAAGATTTACACCTTGTTTTGTTTTAAGAGTTTTATAGGTTTAGGTATGATCTCTTTTGAATTAATTTTACATATGGTGTGAAACAGATTTGTAGCTTCACATTTTTCTGTGTGCTTTTTCAAGTATTTTATTACTGCTTGTTGAAAAGATTACTCTTTCTTCATTTGTTTTCTTGGCATCTATTTCAAAAACTAGTTTATCAACCTGGAAAGGTTAATTTCTGGACTCTTGATTGTTTTCACTTGGACCATACATCTAATTCTGTACCACACTATATTGATTATGTAGTTTTGCAGTAAACTTTGAAATTAGCAAATGTGTAGCCTTCAGTTTTTTTTTTCTTTCTCAGAATTGTTGAGTACCCATAACTTTTTTAAAGGCAGTTATGTTCACTGGTGTGCTTTCTTTAGAGAAATTCATTTATAAATATTAGTGTCCAAAATAGAGAATTAAGAGCAGAAAAGGAGCGCTAGGGTTCTCTATGACTGAATCTATAATGGCTGAATTCCTAATGATTTCTTTTTATTTAACTCCATTTATTTATGTACATATTTTTCTGGGTATATACCATGTATTAGACACTGTACTAGATTTCAGGGAAACAATGATGAATAAAGTGTAGGGGCTCTGCAGTGAGCTTAAGTTAACTCTTAACTTGTTTAAAAGAGTATGGAATTTTGACTGTCAAAGAAATGCAAATAATCCCCATTATATGGAAGATTTGTTCTCTTGGCATTTTTGAAAGTCCTATCAATGCAAATTTCTCTTGTTATTCTGCTAGCAGGAATAAAAATATAAATAGATGAAAGAAGACTGGGATATCTTTAGGCACTTTAGAAATTACAAAAGTACTGTATGATGTCAATTTATTCTTTTGTGCACGTGCATCTCCTTTCATTTAAAAGTTTCCTCGAAGGAAAGGCTTTACTATATTTGTATTTCTTATTCCTTCAGTTATCTAACTATACTTGGGAGGTTTCAGTATTCCATATATGTTGACTGAATGATTGGCTGTTGTGTCTCTTTATACTAAATTAGGATTTGCATAGCTTTTGTCGAGTGGCCTCCTTGTCCTGCAGGATCTTGGTTTAGTGTGCAATGTGAAGTTGAGACAGTCCATATGACATACCTTTAAAATAAAATAATTAAAATCATGAATAACATTGAAAGTAAGTTGCACAAATGACCAAAATGAAATTGACATGTACAGTTATAAGTCACTTAACTCCATAATGATACAGGTTGGAAAAAAAAGTCTTGAAGAGAGGTGGAATTTCATCCACATTTTTAAAAACTGAGGAAAACAAGGTGTTAAGAAGTGCTAAAAGTTTCCCAAGTCAAGAGACAGTTTTCAGCAAGTGGTCCTTGTTCCCTCTCTGGTGAAACATGGAAATGTGTGGGCGTTTTTGGTTGTCTTAGTGTATTAGGAGGGCTACTGGCTTTTAGTGAGTAACAGTTGGGGCTACTAAAGGCCCGCCATGTGAAGCTAGGAATCTCAGTAGCACCCTGATTGAGATATGATGCACTGGGAAGGAAGCAGATTTAACTGTACAAGGAAGAAAATAGTGTCTGTGAGGTGTTTCTTCCTAAGCAAATACTTTTTTTAAAAAAATTGTCTTTGTTTATGCCATAAGAAGAGCTCAATGAGAATATATATATATATATATATATATATATGTCAGATGAAATATAGCAATGGGACATTTTAGGAATTGGGGTCATTTGTAGTTTCCGTTTGATCACTTGGGTGATTTTGATTATTTGAACATTTTCTTTTCTCTTACAGTTTGATTTTTTTCTTTTCTTTCTTATAGAACGAGCCTCTGACCCCAGGTTATCATGGATTCCCAGGGCGGGATAGCCAGGTTGGTATTTGCTGTTTATAAATTCAGATAACATGTGTATACATATGTGTGTTTTATCAAAGGCTGTTGAAATTACTTAGTTTGGAAGGTAACACATCTTTCTTCAGCAGTGAATTTGCAGTGATGGTTATAAAGGTATATTCTAAAAATATTAGTTATGTTATTAAAGTTACAGATATTGTAGGAAGAAGTAGTTGCTCAAGTGTAGTGCAGTAAGGATGGATCTCGTTTTTCCTTCTGCAGACTGTATACTTCCCAAGTGTACTTGGCAGTCAGCAGACTGCAGACTTTTAACCCAGGCTTCTCGGTACTAGGTATTTTAAATGCTGGACTTGTTTTTTGATTTTCTCTCACTTAGCCTGTTCCTACACAAATTTTGAGTCTCAAAAGTAATCGGCAGCAAGAAAACTCCATTTTCTTTCTTGGGAGATTTTTCGGCCTTACAGTTTTAATCAGGGAAGGCTTGCTTGAGAAAGTGAAATTTCTGCTGCTTTTCTTCGTTAGATGGGGTATGATTGGAAAAAGGCGGGCCCTATTGTGGTCAGAGCAGAACAGTTGCCAATGAGAGATGTCGTAGTATGGTTTAGGCAAGTGTATAAAGTGCTTCCTTTGTCTTTTTGCTATTTAAAGGCTCGAGCAGATGAGTCTAAACAGAATCAAAGAACACGTAAAACTGCCACTTAGAGAAATGGTGTGGCTTACGACATGAATGAAATTTATGTCCTTACTGCATGGAAGTATGGACATTCTTTGGGAGATTTGAAAGGGTAGCTCCTGGAAGTGTCTTTGAATTGTCCACAATTCCTTATGGGGTTGTAAAGAAAAAAAGCCACTGTTTGTTAGGCTTGTTCGAGTCAGCATAATATAAATGAAAAGGGTGACATGGTTCTCCTTTCTATAAACAAACTGAATCTCATCAGAGCTCCTGAAACTCATCTTAAAAGCTAGAATAATCAATAATTACCTACTTGGAGACCTTTCAGAGTTATCCAGTTACATTATTGGTGGTGTTTGGCATCAAACTGGCCCCCCAAGTAGGATATGGAGTTAAGGGGCTATCTATCTCAGTTTTCATCTCCTAGTAGAATTGTTACTGTTGGTATTGAAGATGGAAGCTTTTAGTGAAAGATACAGTCATTACCCCAAATCAAAAGAGAACATTGCAAGGTTTTTTTTTTTTCTTGTTTTGTTTTTAATCTGCCATAAGAACTCCTGTAAATTGTGAAATTCATTCCCTTGACATGCTCTGGCTATACATCTGGCTATACATCAGCAAAATGCTGATCCTGTCTCCAGATATTCTGATTGAGCCGATCTAAGATGGCGTTAGCTGTTCACATATTTAGAAATCCCTGAGGTGATTCTTCTGGTAGCTACTGTTGTAAAGGAGTGACATTTTCTCTGTTTCATCTGGACCTTTCCATGTATGACATGTAATGTAAAGGAATCATGGTCAGTTTCTTAATCTAGTGTTACATACTAATGCAAATACTTCATTATATATAACGTGTGCTTATTTGGGGGATAGGATAGAGCTGAATGATATAAAATGTGGAAATAGACTTATTGAATTTAAAGAATCTGAAAGGATACTATCTAATGCTGTGTGAATTACAGATCACTGAGAAGCTAAGAAAAAAAATAGCAATTTGTTAAAGCACAAGAAATAGTCTCTTTCTTTGGAACGACTTATTCTTCTCTTGTAGCAGAGACCTACTTTGTAACCTGTACATTTACTGCAGATACTGTCGCTGCTGTGGGCCTGCACAAAACTTTGGCATGGCTTAAAATCGCACATTTACTGTGAGGCACATTCTGATGGTGACAGGTTTATTTTAGTTTATTTCCTTGGGCTTTATTTTGTACTCTGACTGGATCTTTGAATTAGAGATCTTAGGGTAGTGCAAATAGGCAAATATTGAATAGCAGCTTGTTGTATTTGATGAATACAGAATCCAAATGAGTACTGCTAATTAATGCGCCTAACCTTGTGAACTCTCATTTTGTCCTTTGAGATTTAGGAGGCATTTATCAGTATGAAACGCTGCTCATTGAACAGCCCGAACTGGGCAAGAACTGAACTTCTGAGCTTTACGCTCTCCAGTGGGGTTTACCTCAGCAAATCCAGGAGGTAGGGAGTGGAGTAAAGGCGAATTTTGATTGTGTATTTTTTTGTTTTGTTTTCCTTATTCTTTGCTGTTGCTTTTGAAATAGCTGAGAACTACTTCCAGACAGGATTTTTGTGTGCATCTACTGGTAATTTTAAAAGAGGTAGAAAATAATAATATTTTGATTGTTGCAACACACTGCGATCAATATTTTCTCGTTTCATACTCTTTACCACTTTTCGAAGTCAGTGCAGGGAGTGTTTCTTTTGAAGAGGTAGAAAATTTAAGCACACAAAGATAAAGTGACTTACTCAAGGTGACAGTTCAAGTTAGTACCATAGCTGAGTAAAAACTTAAATTTATCCTCTATTTGAGGATCCTTTCTTCCATACTGTAGCTTATTGACTCACTCACTGGAAGAAATGTGCTCACTTACTCACATTATTTTTATTTACGATTTGGGGGCTTCATAGACCTCCTGAAGCTCAACCATAGATCTCAAACTGCTGGTTAATGACTACTTTGGGTTTGTTAGTACTAAGTGGACTATTTCACTCTTTCAGTGACTTTTTAAAAAGTCATGTGATAAAAGCCCTAGCAACACATTTTAATTAAAGATCCATGAAGAAAAGGAGGAGGGAAAAACCCACCCACCATTTTGTATAGTTTTGCTTTTTTAGTTTAGGTCACCTCAGCCTTCTTTCTTGAGCAATTAACAAGCCTTATGGGGTGGCAATCCATGGATTGTATTAAAGCACTGCAAGCACTTCTTTCTGCCTGCAGACGTGCTCTTTGTGTACAAGTAGAGACAAACATTGTTTGGTTTTACAGAAATGGAAAGCAGCTCAGAAAAATCTAAATGTTTTAGCTCAAGCCGTACAGCTTGTAGGTTGATGGTACAGTGTAGTGGTTTAGAGTCTTAGAAGTCTATTTCTTTGTGATTTATATACATGTGCTTGAGCATGTTCTCAAGAGTTGATTAAGGCTAAAGTAGTTTTTGGGTTTGAATTATTTTTTTGAAGGGGAGAAAACTTGTGTGTATCAGCTGCAGAGTTTTTATACAGAAGAGACCTAGGAGCAGCTCCCTGATTAAAAGAGAGCTATAGTTTGCCTAGCAAGTTTACTAATTCGGTTTGGATTTTTTAAATTTGGAATGGCTTTTGTAGGGAGGTTCCTAGAAAGCACAATGGAGTTCCCTTTTTACCTCCTGATGCCTGCTTTTTTTTTTTTTTTTTTTTTTTTTTTGAGAAAGGGTCTCACTATGTAGGCCCAGGCTGGCCTCAAACTGGCAGTGATCCTCCTGCTTCAACCTCCCAAGTGCTGGCATTGTGTGCGCTGCCATGTGTGGCTAATGTCTACTATTGTTAAAATGAGCATAGAAATTTACCATTCAAGTTGGTATACTTTAGAGAATGAAAAGAGATGGGAAAAATAATGTTGAAACAGTCCCTAGCCAACTGAGATGTATGGGATATATGGTCATTCCTAAGAAGCAGTTTGTTCTCTTGACTGCTATGATCAGGACTAGTAGGCCATCAAAAGTTTATCTAAATAATTAAGTGGAGAAATAATTTAAAACTTTTATTTTAACTTACATTTCATTTGAAGCAAAGACATGTTTATTTTTTAGTCTTCTGATAAGAGGTCAAAGCCTTTTAATGCATACAGATCTGATTAAAATACTACTATATTAAATTTTTTTGGCATGCCTATCTCAAAATACCATCTTGAGTTTTACTGTCTTTTGTTTGTGTGTTTTTGTGTATTTTTAAAAAAGTGAAATAAGCCCTTAATGACGTTCAAAGCAATCTAAATGAAATGTCTATATTTTGTTTACCCCTTCTTGCCTGGTCTTTTACAGTGTCTTGCCTGTATCTAATTTGACTGAGCAAAGGTGTCTTTCATTTATTACATATTTCATTTAAAACTGAGCTATTAAGCCAGGCTTGGTGGTACACGCCTGTAATCTCCGCACTCTGGAGGCCGAGGCAGGAGAATCATTACAAGTTTGAGACCAGCCTGGCCTACCAAGTGAGCTCAAGGCCAGCCTAAACTCCAGAGCAAGACCCTAACTCACAAAGACAGACAGACAGACAGACAGACAGACAGACAGACAGAAAGATAGATAATAGGCTCAGAGTAATCCTTTTCTTACAGCTTTAAATTATAGCCCAGTAGTATTATCTAGTACTTAAACTTAGAAGGAAAGGTGGCTGTTTACATTTGGGATTAAATAGCATAGACTTTTGCTTAGGTTCAGGTGTTGAATCAGCTATAGAGCTAGGAATATTAGTAAAGTATAAAAAGTGCTTGTTAAGTACAGTTCACAAAATACTGTATTCAGTTTTACTGACTTAGTAGCTCTGCTAAGTAGCTTGGGCCTTATTAACCCTATTTTATAGATAAAACAGCATAGAGGTTTTAAAATGAATCCCATATAGGTGGGTGGTAAATGGCCAATTTGGATTACACTCCAAATTTTCGGCCTCTATGTCTGGTATTTCCCTTCTGGCTTTTTGTTAGTGTCTGTCTTCTTTTGATACAGTTCGTCTCTTGCTAGTGTAACAAGATAAGAGGGTATAAAATCTTTTGCAACATCATGGGAGGTCTTTAGGCCCCTGAATAACTTACTTCTATCAGGTTTTCTTCCTCATTTATTTAGATAGCTTATGGTCTACAATTCATCTTTTGTATCTTTTTTTTTTTTTTTTTTCCTTTTGGTCTTTTTGAGACAGAATATATATAGTTCAGTCTGGCTTTGAGCTAGCTCATTCTATAGCCCAGTCTGGTCTTGATCTTGCAATAATCCTCTTGCCTCAGCCTCCCAAGTACTGGAATTACAGGCGTGTGCCACCACTCTTGGCTGTCTTTCCTTAATTTAAAATATTAATG